TACATTTTGCTGACAGCGCTCATGCTACTTTTGTCCTCAGTGGTGACAGAGGCCACAGAAAGGCGCCACGCTAGAAAAGATTTGGTATCAAACTTGTTACTTAAAATATGAAGAAAATTCTTGGCTGTGAGGGCAGTGAGGCCCAGGCACAGAAAAGCTGTGGCTGCCCCGTCCCTGAAAGTGTCCAAAGCCAGCCTGAAGCAACCTGGAATAGTGGAAGGTGTCCCTGCCCACAGCAGGGGGTGGAACTGGACCATTTTTAAGGCCCCTTCCAACTGGATCATTTTTAAGGCCCCTTCCAACTGGATCATTTTTAAGGCCCCTTCCAACTGCATCATTTTTAAGGCCCCAAACCATCCCATGATTTTTGAGCTGTAGTTTCTGTGCAGTCCCCTGGTTTCAGGCATTACACAGCCCAGCTGTGGAGGATGTTGTGATAACTCCTCATAACCGCAGAAGATGATGCTGAGCAGAGACCTTGAAGGGGCATCCTGTGCATCCCTCTGTCCTGGGGCAGGATCAGCATCCCCTGAGCCACAGCTGCTTCAGCCAGATGGCTCCTGTGACCCCCCAGAATCAGAGCCTCCCCAGGCAATTCACTCCTGCCCTCAACTCTCCTGCCCAGATGATTTTGGCTAATGCTTAAAGCAAATCTCCCCTGCTGCAATTTCAGGCCGTTATCCCTTGTGCTGTCCCAGGTGGACGTGGGGAGTGATTTATTATGCAAATTTTTGCAGCAACTTTTAAAATGTATTTGAAGGCTGCTTTTATCCCACCCTTTGGCCTTGCCTCCCCAAAAGTCACACGTGAAAGATAAAAGGCAACTAATGAACAAAGGTTTAATTAGTTCCACGCAGCAATGCTAAAGCTATAGCCTAAAAATAAAATACTTGGAAAGAACATCAGTAAACCATATTACTCAGGAGGACAGAAGGAGTAACTGCATGCCAGAGTGTTTGTGTAACAGAGGAGTAGGAACATTGCAAAAGGTCAAATGAACATTATCACTGAGAAAAAAAGGCTGTATTGCCTCTTTTTAAAAGAGTAAGTTTCTTAAGATTGATGGAAAGAACAAAGATAAATATAATTTAAAATATTAGAGCCACGTAACTCCCACTGAGCTGAACTGGAGCTTTGCCTGCTTGAAGGCTGCAGGAAGGCTGCTTTTGTACTTAAGGACCAGATCAAAACTCGGGAGACTCTAGATCAAAATCAGGGTTAATTCTTGGCTTTCCCTGGGATTCCCTTTGTGATTTGGGGAAATTTCCTATTGACAAAACAAACAGTAGCTCCTCTTAGATTCCCTTGAACTCTCCTCGTTTTGCTTTTGTAGATGGCAAACTGTTTAGGGTGGTGGTATGGTTGTGCCAAAGCACAGTGGGACTTCAGCACAAACTTCTGACCATGACTGCATCTCAGAACACAGCACCAGGCTGCAAAACATGGAAACATCCCATCACAGAATATGTCAAATGCAATTCCAACTGATTAATTTGCCTGCTGCTGATGCTGGATCATGCTGATCTTCACTTGTTTATAATTCAGCAATGCCAAAGTAACAAATCTCTGATGCAAAGATCCAGAGTATTAGAGGGCAAATCTCATTGTTTTTGCTTCCTGATGGTTATTTTAATAAGGGACACATGGAGAAGCAATGTAGTGCTGCCCTATGAACAACATTACATAAATGTTGAGATTATGAGCAATCTCAGGTTCTTTACTGCTCTCCTCCACACGTCCCCAAGAGGCAGGGAAGTGCATGAAGCAAAGAAACATCTTTTTTTTTTTACAGACAACAGGCTGCTGATAACAAAGGCTTGGAGAATTCCTACATACTGTGCCTAAACTCAGTTCTGCAGAGCTGTGGAGGTGTAGTTGAAGGAGCTGCTAGAAGTAAAAAAAAAAAAAGCATACATATGCCACAACATGGTGATGATTTCAGGCAAGAATCCAGGGGTTATTTTTGGGAAAATGAAGCTACTGCTGTCCCAACTGACAGCAGCATGCCCCCTAGAAAATAACCAGATATGGATTTACTGAGGGCGGCTGGATGTCTTGGCAGGCTGTGATTTCAAAATAACATTGATGGTATTAGCACCGCTCCCCTGTATTCTGAAGAGAAACTGGATTACCAATTCAAAGTTACAAGGTTTCTTTCCAGTTTTTTGTTGCATTGTCCTTTTTTTTTCCCATTTGACATTGGAGACAAGCTATTACTGATTTTTCCTACATACAAGTAGGACAAGATTTAGGTCCTACCTTATCAAACTTTACATAAAGATTTCCACCTTTTATTGCCAGCTAATCATTTATACCAAGAATTTGCATCTATTCCTTCCTGTGCTCTCCTTGACAGGCCTGTGGAGGTTTTGCCTGTTGCTGCTCATTCGTTCTCTCCCCCTCAAAACCCACTGGCCAAAATCCACCTATTTTATCTGGAAGAAATAAAGCAAACATCTCCCACGTGCTGTGGCAGAAACCCTGGCAAGAGAAGCAGCAGGTTTGCTGTGCAGCAAAGCTGATTTTTGGCTTCCTGTGCGCCGATCCAACCTGAGCCCCCGGGCTGTGCATCCTCCTGCCGGGTTGAGCTGCAGTTCAATTTACTTTGGTTGCCTTCCAGAGAAAGAATCTGAGTCTGGAAAATGCTCTTGGATCCTTCAGGGGGGGAAGAAAGAGCATTCAGAGCCCCTGGAAGTCACAGTGAGGACACTCTGAGGATCAAGTCCTTGCTAAAGATGCTGCATCTGCTCCCCGTGCACAAAAACCACTGAGAGTGACTCTGCTTCAGCCAGTGGCTCACCTTGACCTTCCAAGTGAAAGAAAATAACATTTCAGGCTCACAGCATCCCCTCTGACTGAGGAACTGAGCCGCTGTAAAATTAAAGCTACACCCTGCCCACAGGACAGGGGGAACTTGGAGATTTCTGCATTGCAGGAAGAAATCTGGTCTCCAAATAAAATACAGCAAGGTTTTCCCCAAAGTGCTTAACTAAAGGGTATCCATGCCACACTTTTATTTTTCATCCTTTTTTGACCTTTGATTTAATTTAAGTACTCAAGCAATTTTAGCTGTGTTTTCTTCTCAGCTTCTCCCACTTCAGGCCACACACACAAAGATCATTCTGTGACTTGACACCCCTCCTTTCTTAAAAACTCCTGGTGAGGAGGGAAAAAAAAGAGGATGTTATTTTAAACAGCCTCAAACTAGAGGTTTTATGTCCATTAGGGTTCTTATTTATTCATTTCAATTCATGCCTTTTTTACATTGAAAATTATAGTTTTTAGAGATTCCTGTAAATGCTTAGGTATGTAAATGGCCTTTCTCCAAAATGTGCTTCTAGATCACTAAAAGTAATTCACTTTTGCTTATATTTTCTCTATATGGAACTCAAGGTAACAATGTGAACGTTTGCTGCTCATCCCTATCCTTACTGATCTGTGTTCTTTCATTTTTAATTGACCTAAAAATCTATTTATTGCTGATAAAATGGCTGGAAAGGCAACACTCTCCTCTTCACACACCAGAACCACCAGCAAGAGGGCTCCTCACCCAACCCTATCCATGACCCTCACTAGAGACATCACTTCTGGGTGCAAGGGACACAAGCAGTGTCCCCAGCACTGTGGCTGTGAATGACAGGCCAAGTTTGCCATTTAACCCATCCCAGATTTGTTATGGCTCACTCACAGCATCCACATCCCATGTGAATTTGTCTTTCTACACTGCTGTAGCTCTCTCTAAATGCACTGAATTAGTGAATCCAGAGGACTTTTTCTTTTGTTGTGATATTATCGCTTACTAAAATAAAATTTCTGCTTTGGGGACTCATCCTGCCACAGTATTTTGTGTTTCATGCAACGCCTGATGCCTCCTCCAGCCACCACTGATGCAATTCCTTTGCAGAGCTATAAGAGGAGCAAGGTTAGGATCACTTGTCACTGAAGAGTCAGGTCATTTTCCATCCTTGGTGACCTCTGTTTCCCCAGCCATATGTACAAGGCACTCAGATCTCAGGCTCTACCTGCAAGCTCCTTGAAAATGGAACCACTGCAATGATACTCCCAAAGCAAACTTTACTTTGGTTTGGCACAAGGTACAAGGCAATTCAGCAGCTGGCTCTCTGTGAAAGCTCTCCTTTCCTTGTTATTTCCTTCCAAGACTATATTTTTTTTTAAGAAAAAAAAAAAAACATTCTTCACTTTCAAATTGCTGTTCACTCCCCAAGGTGAGCAGCCCTTATAGCAAATATATTTCCAGTGAACACAGTTCACAAACATCAGTAAATTAAACATTATCAAGATGGCAGCATCTCTCTTGAAGGGTCATATCATGACAGAAGTAATATCCCAGAAGACAAACCTTCTTCCGTCATTAATTCTATCTTAAACCTTTCTGAAAGGTACATGCAAAGCTCCTAATTTAACTGCTGTCCACTGAGGTGGAAACTGAAACAAAGCTAAACAGGTTTTGTGACCAAACCTTTATCACCTAAATACTAACATTTCACTTATTACAGGATTTAAAATTAATTTCTGTACGCTTACAAAGACACTGCAATTATGTTGGGTTTCTGCCACAAAAGCTTTCCTCTGCAGGGAACAGAAGGAAAAAAGCTTCCTAACAACAGCGCATGCAACAAGTTGAAAAACGCGACTTATTTTCCGACAGATAAGTGCATGAAAACGACAACAGATGGGCCAAAAGCTTCCTCAGGAGGGCCATGCATTGACATCTCTGGGCAGTAGCAGCAGCTTTTGAATTTTCACTTCAACTGCTGCTCAGAAAGGCCACTGTCAGGGAGGAAACACCTACTGTGCGCCTTCCCCTGCCTTCTGATCCCTTATTAGTTAACCCTGAAGTGCATATGTACACAGCCCTAATCCCCAGGCGGGGCTCCGGGGCCGGGGGAAATCTGGAATTAATTGCGGGGTATTTTGGTTCCTAATGCAGCTGTTGGGAGTGTTTGGCTTGGCAGGGGAACAGAAAAGGCACTGCATACCAATTTCGTGAGCCACCGTAAAGGCTGCGTGGAGGCCGTCGTCTTCAATCACCGCGCAGCTGCGCTCGGGGGAGCAGATGGTCCCAACGTCTGCCATTCCCAGGGTATCACAGGAATGATGCCCACATAAATCCTGCCCAGGAAAAGGAAAAGAAAAGAAAAAAGAAATGGTTACAATGAGTTTTTACACCCAGCGGTAATGACCGGTTAAAGGCGCCTTTGCCAACGGCAGGTCCTGGATGAAAATATCAGTGCAAAGTTCCAGGTAAAGATGTTAAAAGCACAGGAAGGTAATCCCTGGTAAGGTCAGTGGGAGTATTTCCATGGACTTTAATGGGTTTTGGATACGTTCTGCAGCTAATTGTTGTTAGTTGTTGCAGCTAATTGTTGTTAGTTAAATTTGTATTTCTGCTATGCTCACACCTGCATTGAGGTAGGCACTGAAAATATGCTGTGGAAGCATTTCCTCATTGACAATGAAACCAGAAAATTCTCCTTATTTACAGAAGGTAACCAAGGCCCAGAGAAAGCTTCAGCTTCCTGATCAGTACTCAAACCAGAGATCACCTTTCTTTTCGGAAACCAATCCTATACTCCCACTTAACTGAAATGAGATTGCTACACATGAAACCTCATTCCACATCTGCCAAGCAGTACAATTACTAGTGTCTTACCCAATAATATACCAGGTATTTAGCAATTCTCAGAGACTGCTGAGAGTCAGTGATATGAGAGAGTGCAAAATCCCAACAACTTAACCACTTCTCCCCCATGTAGATATGGGGTGTGTCCGAAAACCATGCAAGTAGCATCAAGTTTTGTCTTTCAACTTTGGTCAGACATTGTGGTTTTATCACCAGCAGCAATTTCTCCATGCTGCTGTTGAAGCAGAGGGAAGAATAACAGTGTGCATGTGCATATATACACGTTTTTTGGAAGAGAAGGAGAAGTAGGGGCCATGCTATTTGGAACACTTCAACATTTCGCTGTGGTTGAATGAAATTGTCACTTTCAAGGCATGACAAATGTTATTATCAAAATGATCAAAGAGCACTTTTCCCCCTTCATTTTCAAGATTCTCTTCTTCCCTTCAGATCTGTTTCTACAAGGACTTCCTTTTATGAAGCCTTTCATAATTAATCCACCTGAATAACAGACACCTTCTAGGAGGCTTCAGAGCAGCAGCGTTCACTGATTATGACAGGTTAGGCAAACCTGGAAAAGCACAGGATTCAAACCCCACTGAAGTCAAAGAAAACCACACCTAATGCCCAGATACTGTGACAGAGCATCTCTTTACAAACACACAAACAAACAAAACAAAAAAAAAGAAAAAAGGTGGGTTTTTTTCCCAACAAAGAAAATTTTCAAGCTAAGAAGACAAGGCAGTATTACATAAATGGAGGAGAAATTTCAGGCTCAGTTCTGGCTTCCAGGAAACAATCAGTGGGACAAGAAGAAACCATCTTAAGCTCGATGTTTAGGTTGGACATTTAGGAAGAATTTCTTCACACAGAGGGTGATTAGATATTGGAAGGGGCTGTCCAGTGAGGTGGTGGAATCCCCATCCCTGGAGGTGTCTAAGGAAAGACTGGATGTGGCACTCAGTGCCATGGTCTAGCACAAGGTGGTTGGACTCAGTGGTCTCAGAGGTCATTTCCAACATGACTGACCCTGTCATTCTGTGATGGAGCAATACGACCTGAACCCACACAAGCAGCTGAACTGAAATTCTTACACAAGTACCAAAAAGCACATAAATCAGACAGAAACCAGCTTACTGGAGGAGGGCTAGACAGGTTGAGAGTGCCAAAATAGTATAAACTGCATTAATTCAGGCTTTGTCTCTGCATGCAGATCCTATGTCACTCAGTCTTTTCTGGTATTTGGGTGGCATTATTACACTGACATCAGTGCTGCTCCCAGCGTGGCACAATGGTATCAGCACACAGATGCCTCATGCCACTCAGGATTTACTCCCATTTGCACACAAGAAGCAGCTACACTGGGAACCTACACCAGCAGGCAAAGCCAGACTTCACAATGATTCACCACGTTTGATGACACAAATGTAACTAAAAAAACCCACAATTTTTCCAAGCAGGCAATCTTGTTAACTTCCACAGAGCTAATTCTGATGGGATGTGTGCAGCATGGAAATCAGGGCAGAGATGTCAGCATAATCTCACCTCAGCATTTCAAAATCTGCGCTCAGGATTGCGTTACAGGGCTCACAGGGCTGGTCCTAGAAAATCCCACAGCAGGAAAGACATGATTCTGCAATCTGCTGCTGTGCCAGGTCACCTAGCTCCTCCAACTCCCCACGGGCAGCTGGCAAACAGGTGTCCTCAGGTGACGTGGGACCAGCCATCCCCAGAAAGCAGAAGAGAGCCCACCCTGGGGTCAGAAAGTGTTGGGCAGTGCTCCAGCAAAGCCCTGGTCCCTCAGCAGCCCCGAGGCCACCTCCCTGTAGACCCCCAGCACCCGGTGTGGGGGTCCTGCAGCCACTGCCAAATCCCAGCTGGGAAGCAGCAGAGGGGCTTGTAAAGGATTCTGGAAACAAGGACAAGAAATATTTTCTGGCACCAGCTCCTCTGTCAGAAGCTGTTATGGGGATGTCTGTGGGTTGCCCATCTGCTGCTAGAGCAGGGCATGCCATGGCTGTGCTTTGGGCAGAGCATGGATTGAGCATCCTGGTTTTCCCTGCCAATTCCAGCCCTCGGTGGCTGCCTGAGGATGTTCATATGCAGCTAAGGCTGGCATTATCAATAATCATTTAGGCAAATTACTGAGGGCTCCTCTATGTTGCCATTGTCTCATTCACTTCTTTACTTCTCCTGCCTCTGCATGATTTGAACTGGAATGCATTTCTGTTCCTAGTATATACTAAAAACAGAACAGCAGCCCATCAAGTGGCATCTCTGAGACAAATATTCTGAAAAGTTTGCTTTTGGGTCAGTTCACCAATACCAGCTTCCGAACAGTTTGACTTGCAAGTGATGTTACCGAAAATCATGCCTTCTTAGCCATCAAACACTGGCAATGGATTATTCATTACCAGAATTAATAGCTACATTTGTTTTTTGCTTTCCTGGGCAGTCCTGGAAAGCAGTCTACTACTTTCATGAAGCAAACTTTCTGGGAGTACAGTAGGAGGTTTTATTTCCCTGGAAAATATTTTAACTTTTTGTTAAAAACAGGCTTCTCAATGTAATGATGCAATCTTAAAAAATCTGTGTGGGTAGCCTCAACTTTTCATACTCCAGCTAAAGCACGAGGAAGGAGGGGACTCGTGATACATAAAATCAGTTTCCAATGATTATTTCACTCTGGGTTTTTTTTGCCTCTACTAGAAAGTTAATCAGCTACTCAGATCTGGATGCTCATCTGCCTTGAAACAGTGGCAGAAGAGTTAAAGAATGTTTTTTTATATTTCTAAAGAAGGAAAGCAGCCTGGCCCTTGATCTGCTTTACAGTAGTTTCAAAACAGAAGAATGACATGGAAATGCATTTGCTATGCAGGAGGCAAGAGATGTTAAGACTTAAGCTTTGGCAAAGGAATGGCTTGGTAAAACTAAGCTGTACATCACAAGTCTAGTAGTTAATTAGACAGCTCATTAGAGGCCAAGTTTTCTTGGCATCCTAAATCCATCAGGAGCAGCTGGCTGGCTGCCAGGTATACATGGCCTTGTTGTGAAGGGAGGGAACTGTCACCGTGTCCTGCCTGCAGCAGGGAGCTCATTTCACCTGAAGTGTGCTCCATAGTAGGTTTCAAACCAATAAACTGTTTAGTGAAACCTGGTATTAGCTCAGAGGCCACTGACCAGATCCAAAACACAATGTGAGGACCAGCGTGGACACTTTGGTGGGATTTTATGGCAAAAGAACATGTCCTCAGGTCCTCTGAGTTATCTACCCCTCACAGGGCTGGCAGTTTGGGATCCTGCGGGCCCCGAGGTGCCACAATTCCAGAGTCTGGAACAGCAGGGCACTTTGCTTACTGGGGTTCAGATGTTTCATTCAGATGTTTCAGGTGTTTCTCCACCTTTGGCCCTGAGGGAAGCTGAGCCTACAGAGCTTCTCGGATCGGAATGAGAGGAACGCACAGGATGAGGCTTTGTAGCAGGTCAAGCTGCACACATCACCTTCTTGTAAATCACAGCTAAAACCTTTACAGCTCTGCTCACTTGTTCTTCTGGTCCTTTTGCAGCAGCTCATGAGTTCAAGCCTTTTCCCAGTGAGAACATGATCCAGCTACAAATTCCTTCCAGGGACGAGGCCAACTAGAAGCATCTTTTTTAGGAGAGCACCTTATGGTCTATACCAGGCTCCTTCCACACACACAGGGACCTGTGGCTCCTCCTGGAGCAGCCCCTGAGCCCAAGGTTTCCCTAGCCCAGGCTGCAGCTGAAGTGCAGTGAGTGAAGGGACTCAATTTTTGGTCCCAGTTGCCCATCCTCCTTCTTTCCCACTGAACAGCCTGTGGTAAATCACAGGAACAGCTCCTCTCCGTGCTTGAGGAACCCAGACCACCTTGCTCCAGGCTTCAGGTCACAACTGCCCTCGTTCTCACCATATGAATTACTCACTAAGCAGTGACAGACCTTTGGTCAGAGGGGTGGAAAGTTTCCTTAACACCTGGAACAGCTTACGACCTCCTGGTTAAGGAGCTCTCCTGGGAGGTGGGCGATGCAGACCTAAAATCCCTGCAGCAGAGGAAGGAATTAAGCACGGCTTTCCGATTTCCTGCAGCAGCGTTCCCACCGCAGGCCGGGCAGCCAGGGTGGGGTCAGGTGGTGCCAGGAACACACACATCCACCCTCCCATCAGCTCCTCTGCAAAGCGGGTGCACTTCCACTGATGTCACAGCAGCCTGGAATGGCACACGTGGTTTCAAATGCCATGATCACACGGGCAGAAAGGATGCTGGGCGAGGAAAGGCTCACTGGGTTACTGCTCTGACCTCCCCAGCCCACGTTCTGAGAGGGTGGCCACAGCCTGGTTACCTTCTGAAAAAAACCACGACGGTGATACCTGCCAAAACAAAACCCAAATGCATTTCCCCAGCAGTTTAGCTTAAAAATTGAGGTGATTTGCTTTTGGGGTTCATATCATAAATATGAGCCTGGGGCTTGAGCATTAAAAAAAAAAAAAAAACCCACAGCAGAGTTATGCAAACCACAGGTTATTTTAAAATACTGACAAAATGCACATAAAGCATTTGGAACCTGCATGGGGAAGAGAAGTTTCAGTTATGAAACTGGTGACTGATAACTGAGTAAAAATGTGTGATTTAACCTGCTTAAGCCACAGTTCCTTTGTGGGGAAACTCCACACCATCTCTCCAGACCAGGGTGAATCAAACTTCTCATCTGTCAGTTATGTCCCACTTTGTTTTCCCTAGGGACATTATTTAAATGTATCTGATGGGCAACAAAGTTGGTGAAAACACTATGAAACTGGTATACACATCACACACCAATTTCTTCAGAGTAATAGTAATTAACAGTGAAATCTATTCTATTGACCATTGGTACAGTGACTTGTTTTACTTCTGGGGGATAATAATTGTTGGAAGATGATAACAGAGAAAAGAAGAAAAAAAAAAAAAGGCAAAGGACAGAAGAAAGAAGTAGAGCCAAAGAAAGCATGTGCTCCATGCAGTGAAATTATCATCTACAGAGCTGAGATAATACAAAGCTTGCTGTTAAATTTCAACAGCACTGCCAGATGGACAGTTAAACTAAATCAAACACACCAGCCCCATATAATTACTGTGTAGAAAAAGGCAGGACAGTGGCCTTTGGCTCTGGCATGAACCCTCTGCTCGAGCCAGGCATGATGGTACTATCACAGATGATGCTAACAAGCACTTAGGAAAGGATTTTTTTCTTGCTCCTAATGTCTGTATCTACTGTGAGAAACATCTATTTTAATCTTCAGATGATTCAGAACGGGGGGGAAAGGAAGAGAGCTGGATTTTGTCCAAATGCATTCAATAGTTCACTTGAAATTTAACTAAGGGCCACTAATGAAATAGACTGGATGGATTCTAGAGGATAATTGCAGAGTAGGCTGGACCTCAGAAAAAGAACAGTGTGAGTTCAACTGCAGTTTGCAAGTCCCATCTAATCTGTTTTGCTATGGTGACAAATAATCTGGCAAGTGTTTTGCTGCACCCATAAAAATCTGAAGATAATCTGCTTCCAGCTCCTGCAAACAGCTCGCTATAAAAAAGGCTGGAACAGAATAAACTCTAAATTTGCTGTTGACTTCACTGCCACTGAGAACAAGTGATGAAACACCAGATTCTAAATTTGCTGTTGACTGCACTGCCATGGACAACAAGTGATCTCATCTCCAGGGAAAGAGGGCTTTGCAAGCTCTTCCTCCTCCCCACCACACAGCCACTTCTCTGCTTGATGCAGGAGACTCACCTGGCCACCAGAACTGCATCCTTGCACCACCAGATTCCATGGAGGATGCTCCAGGATTCATGTGGCCCAAAGATTTACAGCTGCTGCCAAGGACTCGGCCACAAAGCAGTCCAACAGCAGGGGACCCATCTACTCTCTAAGGCAGTTATGGTCAAGCTGCCTTGAGGAAATTTAAGAAATGTCAGAAAATTATCATGTTTGCTTGCTGTCAAGTCAGACCTCTGTCATGCTTCATCCTGCTCCTCATGGGTCAAAATGACAGATGGCAACCACTGGGAAAATACACTTCTCATTATCAGATTTAAAAAATCACTGTGGAACCCAACTAAATTTCTGTAATATTTAGTGACAGATGATTTCTGTGTCCACTTAAGGTTTCTACAATGGGCAGACATGTAACTCTAGTGATCCCTGCATTTACAGAGTAAACAGAGGACCCATTGCAGCAAATGGACACTTGCCATCACTGATAAGCAACACAAAACCCAAAACCAGCTTTAGGATGTTGCCTGTATCACCCCAAACTGAATTCATGTTCATATTGACTTACTGTGATCTGCAGTATAATTGCTTTAAAGCCCTTAGCCAATTAAATACAGATTATGACCAGAAGTAAGTGGCTGTTTTAACTCAGAATCAGTGAATTTCCTTCTGAATTTTTTTACATAGGAAGTACTTCCTAGTATGAATGATGATGACGATGACAACCATAATTTGAACTTATGTAATATAATGTGAACCACTACTAATTTAAAAAAAAAAAAAAGGAGAGCTGCCAATGCACTCTCAGGCTATCCATGGTTACTAATTTATTTTTAAAGAAGACAACCAAAGAGGATGAAGCAAAACTGCTGAATTCTGTCGGGATTCTTCCTTCATATAGGAACTCAAAGCCCTCTTTTAAGTGTAAAAAAATACCATCCAATCAAATGTCGCTCCGGAACAAAGATAATTATTATATTAGGGATTTGTATGGCACCAGCCACGCACAATGCAGATTCTATCCACACAAAGCCAATTCCATACAGCTGACAAACGATCTGCAAATATTATTCTGTTGACAGCACGAAGCTCAAGGTGGCCTCAGTTAGTAAACAACGATGGAAAATGTACCTCACACGTTTGCCCAACTCCTGAAACCCAAGGCACTTAGAAAGAGACATCTGGATGTTCAAAAATCAGCATGACGATATTCAGAGCCCATCAAAACACGCAGCCACGGCTCGGCGTCTTGTAGCTTAGCAACCAACTTCATCCATCCAAAACAGAGTTGTAAAAGTGGTGCTCTCCTGCCAACTGCTGCCACTCTCATTGAAAAGCTAAACTGGAAAAAATCTCTCCTTTAGTTCAAAGCGGGGCTGTTTTCCCCAGGAAACATCTCCACTGCTTTTTCATCCTTTAACCCTTTTCGTGTTTACATTCCACAGGGAGCAAACAGATTCATGTTGACATTTCAAGGGTAAGCATATAAAAATCGTGTGGGCTCACACACACTCTCCCTGCAAAGAACATCACGAACACATGCAGCAAGAAACTCCAGTCTGGTTCTTAATTCAGTCAAACACTGCCAAACAATGTCCGTGCACACACAGCAAAGCATTAAAGCAGATTAAGTTGTCCTGAACTGCATCGAGCAGATAATCCCAGAGTTAAAGCTGTTAAAATGTAAACCAAGGAAACACAAGCCTGCGCTTTTTTTCTCATGAAGCAGTCCTGAGCAGCAGTGCAAGCAACATTTGCATCTTAAGAGTGCAAGGAGACCACAGGAACCGTGGTGATTTATTTATTCTGTGCACTATTATAGCCCAGAGAGGCAATTCTATGCATTGCTCTTGAGCCTTTGAAAGTGGATTACTGATTAGCAGCACCCTCTTATTCTGGCAGGAGGGTGTCCATGCAAAGAATTACAGCTAAGCATGTGTAAAGCAACTGCACTTTACAGTCACATCCTATCTCAGTCCAAATTAATTTAATAATTGACATTAATGTCGTTTCAGAATTGTCATATAGCCCAGGGAAATAAGTGGGAATAGTGGCAGAGAGAAACTCTCTTCAGAGAGAAGGGATGGATTCTGGCCCAGGCTTAACAAGCCACTGGAAAAGATGTTTACAGCAAACCCATAGACACTCTGACCCAGTCTAGGTAGCCTGCTTTCATTCAGGTTATAGCGATAAAACAACGAAAGCTTGCAAATTGCACTGATGGGCTTTAAACTGCTAAAAAGGGCTCCTGTTGTACAAGTGATGCCTGACACAGAACCTAATGTTTCAACTATTTACAGCTATAAAAGCAAGCCAGGCGCTTTTTTTCCCCCCTTCTGGAGCAACTCCTTCCACAAACCATCCAAAGCATCCTTTTTGGCAGGCTCCTACGATGTAGCAAAGCCGGAGAACTCAAACGAACGGAAAGTCATGCAGTTATTTTTTTCGTACTGAGGGAAAGGGAAAAAAAAAAAAAAAAAAAAAAGAAAACACCAAACCCAAACCGCTGAAGGGATATTCTTACAGAACTTCATTGCATAAACTCGGGCCACATGTCTACCAGAGCAATGTCCCTTAACGACCTCTGGCAACGTAATTAATCAACAACCCAGCGTGGAGCAAGCTGGCGGGGCTCAGCACGGGCAGATCCAACCCACAGCTGATGAGGGCACCCACTGGGGACAGGACAGGGACTGCAGCCCCTTGCCAGCACCGGGGCCAGCTCACTCAGCTCGGGCAGCCCTGTTTACCTGCGACACCTGAACCACAAGCGCTGCTGGCTCCCAGCGCGGTGGAGCGATCCTCGCTGGAAATAGCGGCCCGAGGTGCTCCACGAGCAACACGTCCGTGCTCTTAAGGTGCTTTCCACCGCCTTCCCTAGCAGGTTTTGTCTGGGGACTAATTTAGGCTGGGAAGTGCTATCAGCCCTTCCCGGCTGGACCACCTCGAAATGTGTTGAACATCTCAGAGGCGCAGACAGGGCAAAGTCACGTCTGAAGCAAAGGGACGTCAGGCTGAGCCCCACGGTCACAGCTCCCACCTCTCCACCGGGCTGGGGTCCCAGCACTGCTCTGGAGAGCGCGGCGGGGGTGACAGCACGGGGCAGGGGACACACACAAGTCTCAAGCCCTCTGCCATTCCCGGCAGCGGGTGCCGCTCCCCGAGATGCTGCACTGCCCCATGGAGCGGGATCCATGAGCGGGGCGGCAATCCCTGGGCAAAGCCCAGCAGGCTCGAGGGACACGTCGCTGTCGCCGTCACGGCCATGCCCGCGGCCAGGGCCATGCCTACCTCGCGGGTGAAGAGGATGGCGGCGTCGTAGTGCTCCTCGTGGTCATCGTCGAGGCGGTTGTGCTGGTGCTGCCACTTGCAGAAGTTCTTGAGCGTGGTGGCGGCGTTCCTGTTGACCTCCAGCCCCTTCTCCTTGTCGCCCAGCGCCACCACCTTCACCACGGCCAGCCGCACGTGGTTCTCCAGGCTGGCGTGCGCGTACAGCCGGGAGGCGATGGAGGCCAGCGTGAGCAGGTAGTGCTGCAGCCCCTTCCCGTACTTGCGCACCATGGAGGCGTCGGCCACCAGCAGCAGCTCCACCTGCCGGGCCCGGGACACGGAGCGCCGCCGCCGCCGCCGCCGCCCGTCCCCGCCCGCCGGCCTGGCGGGGTCCCGCGTCTCGCAGCTGGTGCGGGCCGGCACCGTCTCGAAGCTGAAGCTCTCCCTGCGGAAGACGTGAGGGGCGCGGGCCGGGCCGTCGCCGTAGATCCGCGCCGCGGCCTCTCCGCGCGCAGCGCGGCGCGCCGGGCGCACGGTGTAGCGGGAGCGGCCCACGGCGAAGAAGCCGTCGAGGCCGCCGCAGAGGTTGAAGACGGCGAGCGAGCGCGGGCTGCCGTCCACCGTGCCGCGGTAGTGGCAGCGCGGCCCGTCGCGCTCCAGGTCGAGCAGGAAGCGCTGTCCCCCGGCGTAGAGCACGTAGCCCGCCCTGCCGCCCCCCGCGTAGGTCGGGTCGAGGCGCCGCACGGCCCCGCGGGCGCGGCCGGCGCGGGCGGCCAGCAGCAGCCACAGCAGCGCCGGCAGCATCGTGGCCTCGGAGCGGGGCAGCGGGGCGGCGGGAATGGTAATTGTGGTGGTGATAATAATGATGGTAATAACGGGAGGCGGCCGGCGGAGCGCGGCGGCGGAGGTAGGGGATGGGGAGAAAAGGAGAGGTGCGGGGAAGGGGGAAAAAGAAAAAAAAAAAAGAAAAAAAAAGGAACGACAACAACAGCAAAAAAAAAAAAAAAAAAAAAAAAAAAAAAAAAAAAAAAAAAAAAAAAAGAAAATAAGAAAAAAAAGTTCTCCCTCTAGAAGTCAAGTGTGAGTGCGGGAGAAAAAGATGTCAACAAAAGTCGCTCGCGTGTGAACTTTGTGTTTCTCTGCAGGGAAGAGCCGGGAGCACATAGAAGGGGAAGAGAGAGAGAGAGAGAGAGGGAGAGAGGCGAAAAAAAAAAAAAAAAAATTCCCAAATCGCTGCTGCCGGGGAGGCAAAGTGAGGAGAGAGGAGAAGGAGGAGAGACGGCTCGGAGCCGGCAAGTAGAGAAGTTTGAGCACTTCCCACTCCTCTTCCACTTCTCCGCTGTAGTCACCGGATCATCACCAGCAGCAGCAGCAGGGGCAGGTCTGCTGCGACTCGGCACTTTCTCGGGCTCCGGTGGGCTCCTGTCCTTCTTTTGCCCTCTTTTGTTTTGAAGAGAAGGAGGAGAAGGGGAGAGAAGAAATTCAGGCACCCCAAACCGCCTCCATCGTCTCCGGTGAGATGGTTAAAAAGAAAAAAAAAAAAAAAAAAAGAAAAAAAAGAGGAAAAAAAAAAAGCCCAAGAAGCGGAAAACGTCCTGGATTTCTGTAAAAGCCCCCTCCCTGTATCTTTCCTGTTGTTGTTGTTGTTATCCCCAGTCTGTCGATGTGAACAAGAGGAGAAGGGAGAGAAATGTGAAGATGAGAGGAGGTGGAACAATGAATTTATAGCGGAATGCCATCCTGCAATGGCAATTTCAACAATTCGTCACTGCAGGCTGCCTCTTAAAGGGAGAGCTTCAAAACCACCACTCCCACACTTCCTTCTCATTTAATCAGACAGAAGGAGAAACTTGAGGGGAGGCGGAAAGGGGGAGGGGGGGCGGCTTCGCGGGGAGGAGAAAAGCAGCGAGAGTGAGCGGGAGAGAGGGAAGCGGGAGAGGAGAAGAGCCGGAGGAAGCCGGGCCACGGCACAGAGAGATGTTTTTATGTGTGTGTGTGAGAAAAACGCGAGGTTGCAGCCGCAGAGCCCGCGGGGCTCGGGATGTGCCCGCGGCCGGAGCCGCGCTTACCTCGCGTCCTGCCGGGGCTGCGGCTCGCAGAGCTCGGGGAGCACGAGCACGAGGAGGAGGAGGAGGAGGAGGAGGAGGAAGAGAGGTCTGTGCCTGGCTCCGGAGCCAGCGAGGGAGCTGCCGCGGCTGTGCCGGGCTGGTGGAGCCCCCGGGTCCCGCCGTGTCCCCGCTCGGCCCCGGCCCCTGCCCCGGGCAGCGCGAACTTCCCGTCTTTGTGTGCAGCCCGCCTGTCACTGTCACCCGTGGGGACCGTCCTGCCACCAGCCCGGTGGCAGAGCAGGGAATGCCTGCTCTGACCTTCGGGATGGCTTCGGACCCCGAGGTCATCCCCCGCTGTCGCACAGAGCCGCTGGCCCCGTCCCCTCGTCTGCCACCCCCTGCCTGGGGCTCCGGTGACCGCAGCCACCTCTGCACCTTAGCCATGGGATGGGTGGAGATGGCGAATTCCCCGGGCTGGAACGGCTCTGGGAAGGTGAGAGCAAGGGGTCCCCTGAGGATTCCGGCTGATTTCCCCCTGCTGAGCTGAAGACCCCGCTCCGACAAACAAAAGTGCTTTTATTTATATTTATTCCACATTTCCTCTCCACGTCCCAGGACAGTGCCAGGAACAGGTGCTCTCTGGCTGCAGGACTCCGCAGGGATTCAGGTCTCCAACCTCATGGTCACCTGCAAGCAGGAAATAAACCTCTGACCACTCTGGAAGAAAATGATGTGCACAGCTGTGGTGCTTGGCAGGGTCAGGATGGGTGGTGGGATGCACAGACCTGCCCCTGTAGCTTCCAGGGACTGCTTTCCAAGTCCACCGTTTCTCTAAGGAACAGCTTAACTGAAGGCACAAAAGCTTCAAAAATTAATATTCCCGTGTAAATTATTGCATTAACATGACCCCGAGGTTGTGCTTATGAAATGTTTTAACTCACCAAAGTTTTGCAAGTGTTCATTCTTTTTCCGCTTTTCCAGAAAATGGTGATGCCTGCAAACTACAGTTCACTTCTCAACCTCCTGGTATTTCTTTTTCTATCATATCAGTGTTCTGTCATCCCCAAAAATTCTTCACTGGAGTCAGTAAGTTTCAAAATTAATAAGAGGTATGTATTAGGAAGGTCACATTAACTTTTTGGGCACTGGGCCAGGACTATTCAACATTTAAAAATTTAAACATTTCCTCAGTTACTTAAACTCATTATAAAGTTAAAACAGCAGAAAAAAAATTAAAGAGAGAGAAGACTCTCTTATTTTGATTGAAAAAAGAACCTGTAATTTTCTTGGATGAGTTTTACTTTTCCTTTGAGCCTAATGCATGTCTGCTCAGCACCAACAATATTTTTATTGACTTCACTGGGACCTGATCAAGCCCTGGATTTGCAAATATGTCTGGGTCCAAACTCCCAGATACCCCTGGGAGAGGTGCTAGAGATGAGATCTGGGATGAGGAATGTATTTTGGATAACAACCTCAGCACATCTCATTAAAGAAGTGTTAGTTTGTCAGTGAAAAGGGATATGGTGCACAAGAGGCCAGTGTAATGTTCTCCCAGGCTGCAGCCTAATTCCAACTGTCCGGCCATATAACCTTGGAAAAACAGGAATGCTTAGAGAGGCTGGTGATAATTAAATGGTGTGTCCCACTGCTCATCTCTGGAGCTGTCTTTGATTTCCCAAGTGACAGAAGAAGTTGGCTGGGCCTGCCCTGTTACACCAAGCAGGGATCCAGGCTTTCCAGGAAGGTACAAATTATTTTGTGCAAATAACCCCACAGATTAGGAAATCTGTCCTGTTTACATCTCTAAGCTGCAATAACTCAGCGCAGCAGTGCAGTAATGGAAAGATGGGTCAGTCATGCCTCGTGCAATGAGAGGGAACATCTTTTAGTCTGAGAGCCTGGAAGTGTAAGGATAAATCACCGGAATGAATCATCTCTTTCCTCGCAGTTTTGCCCTCTTAGCCTCTTTTTACAGTTAGAGCACTGCCTTTAAACAAGAAATCCTGTTAGCATGTCCCAAGCTGTGGATGACACTCAATCCTTGTCAAGCAGTTCTGACCTGGAAATTTCAAGGCTGACCTTTCCCGACTGAGAGATAGAGAGCCACAAATCCTCAATTAGCTTTGAGGCACAACACAAGCCTTGTACACTTTGGATCAAATTCAACCCTGGTGAAAGAAGATGCAATCCTCTGGAGTCTCTGGGAGCTGCTGTCACTAAAGTTGTGTTTCACCCCCTGGGTTTGTCCATGAAACCTTTTAGGATCCTGCAGATTACAGCCTGGGTAGCAGGGGATTCCTGATCCTGTAGTGTTTTATTCACATAAGAAACTTTGCTCTAAGCATTATAAACACTCACCTGAAGGAGCAGCCTGAGAGGTGTGGAGATACTGGAAAAGTTGTTGATGATTTTATCCAGGTGTCCTTCCAGTTTTGTATAAAAAGGACCTGTTTTACATCACCTCCTTTTCAATGCTCTGGCACATGAGAAGGGGTTAGAAAACCATGAATTCAAGGTTTGTATTGGCCCACAGCCCCCTGACAATCAGTCAAGACCTAGCAGGGATGTCCCACCCAGCAGCACCTGTCTTTCACCATTAATTGAACTCCTCCTTGGAAATTAAAATAATTCTGTTCAGTTTTCATTGTTCTGGTATGAGGAGTGTGTGGCATTTCTAACTCATTGGGCAGGGAAGACACCAATTACTGTGGGAAGTAACATTTGTTCTGTAAAATTGTAAGAAGGCTGAGTCAAACTCAAGAAATTTGCCTGCCCAACATGTTCTAAATACCAAAAATCAGCATTTGATAGACTTGTGATCAACACTGGGACATAGCTGGCAATGGACCCAGGTTTGGGTAAGGTCCTATTCCAAAATCTACCTGTAGGAACATAATTCTTAACATAGGACAGCTTTGTCCCTCCTGAGCGTGTCTCTTGTGTTAACTTCACTGAAAATTTTAATCTGATGATGTACAGAGGGATGGAGCAGCTCTACTAATAAGGAAAGGCTGAGAAAACTGGGATTGTTCAGCCTGGAGAGAAAAGACTTTGGGGTGCCCTAATGCAGCCTTCCAGCCCCTGAAGGGAACTTAGAGGAAAGATGGAGCAAGATTATTTATAACAGGCTGTAACTACAGCTTCAAATCACAAGTGAGGATGTATAGATTAGATATTAGGGAAAAAAAAAATTATATTCTGAGAGTGGCAGGGCACTTGAGCAGGTTGCCCAGAGAAACTGTGAGTGCCTCATCCCTGGAAGTGTCCAGGGCCATGGTTTGTTGGTCTTGTCAGAAGTTTTAACAATGCAAACGTGGTGATTACAGTGCTCAAGTCTGCTCTTCTTAAAGCTTCCCTTCAGTGATGCATTAAAACCACTGAAGAAAGTTATTTCTAAATGGCTCACTAGTAAACAAAATACTCATTATATAAGTAATTTTGCAAAGAATTCTTAAAGATTAATATGTTAGGCTGGTCTTCTGGAAAGGACTAGATATTCCAGCATTTGGAATAAGTTATGCAGCCTTTAACCCCCACCCTAGGATAGCAACATATGCAACACTGCCCCTTTTTTGGACTGTGTGTCTTTCTGTGGCTTGGATGTCGTGAAAACCCACTCAGATGGAGACCTCCTGGCAGCTGCTTTGAGGGACTTCAGCTTGCTTGTTGGCACTGAAATAAATTTGTGGTTGATAAACAGGAAAACGCCCCCATTACTGGTGCGTCCTTGCTGCCAGTCTCACCAGGTGGGTTGGCAGCTGAGTGCCCCTGGAGACTGAGGTTACTTCTGCATCCCTGCCCTCTCCCATTTCCACAGCTGGCATTTCCATGGAGTCCAGGACAAAGTTTATTTATTTATTTGTATTTAAATTTATTTATATAAAGTATTTATTTATAGGTCAAGT